TCTTTAGGAATGCTTGCTAAGCCCTGGAAATATTACCTGACCATCATCAGTTGCAAAGTCACAAAATGAAGTAGCAATCTCAAAACCGTCTCCAAATCTTGATATACATATTGCTTTTGATTTAGTCATTTTTAATCCTCTCTTAATGATAGTTCGTTGATTTCAAACTGATTTAAATAGAAAGATATAATATCAATGATGTTTTTCTACCCAAAGTTCCCCAGTTATTTTTAGAATGGGTAAATAAAATGTTGAATTTTCAAATAAAATTTTCTGTCTTTGGCCAAAAAATAAAGGCATTTTCTTAATACATTTTGGATTACATTATTCATCTTTAAACAAGTCCCATAAAATTTGATGGTTGGATTTCACAATCTTATTTTGTAACAAAACAGACATCCTATCCATTTAAATTTATAGGCATTTTATACAAGATATCAATTCTGACAGCCATCCCTGGTGACTCAGAGGCAAAGAATCTGCCTGCAGTTCAGAAGCCTCAGGAGACAGGTTTTGATCTCTGGCTTGGGAAGCTCCCCTGCAGGAGGGAACATCCACTCCAGTGTTCCTGCCTGGGAAATCCCAGGACGGGGAAGGCTGGAGGGCCAGGGTCCGTGGGGTCACAGAGACAGACAGGACTGAGTGCCTAAGCAAACTAACATGAGGACATGAGTTTGTTCTCTCTGAGAACTGCATTTTATTGACTTAGTGTTATTAACACACTTCTATTGAAATTTCTAGAGTATATGTAAAAATAGCATCAACATGTTTTTCCTTCATTATGGTTAATAGAAAAAGAGGTAAATTTTATTATTATGAATAACATTTTAAACTATTTCCAAAATATGAATATGAAAAACTTATCTGGAAATTTACTGAACTGGAATTAATTGGTATTCTGATATCATTCCTAATGTGCTGCGGCTCAATTGTTTGAAAATAAATGAAGAGAAGAGAAAGTGAGCTTTTAAGACTGAATGATCTAGTGACTGGCTAATTAACGTGCTGGGCCATTTCATTAGCATTCAGATATTTTAAATAGATTGACAAAGCTCCTGCGATTTCATAACCTGCTGAAAGACTGGGGACTAGATGACTGCCTGAGCAGAGCACCGGGGCAGGGTCTGAAGGTGAGGACTGCAGGGCCCGCGGCCCTGTGGCTCCCGGCCACTGACTGTCTCACACAGGTAGGTCTGAAGGTGAGGACTGCAGGGCCCGCGGCCCTGTGGCTCCCGGCCACTGACTGTCTCACACAGGTACCAGTCACCTGAAGACAGTCACAGGACAGGCAGCGGCCCTTTCTTAAGGCAAACAGCACCACGGTCAGTGCTTCGTGGTGAAAAGGCAGAGCTCTGTTTCGTGCCTTTAGAAACAGAGGAATGACTGGACCCATCCCACGTGCAATTAGACGCTGTCCACAGGAGACACACACACGCGTCCACTGGCAGCCAAGGGGTGTCCTTGTGCCCCTCACTGTCTGACGCCGGCTGAGTCCCCTTCAGCCCTCGCCTTCAGCCCGCACACACCTGGCAGATGCAGCAGATGGGATTCTAGCTCATCTTCTATCCTTTTCTCTCCTTTGCTCCTCCCCTCCTCCTCTTCTCCCAACACATCTCCCACCGCAGAGAAACTGTCTCACCTCTCTGCTCCTCAGCTTCCTTCCCTACTACGTCATCGCTGATGCGTTTTCTAGCTCTAACCACCTCTCGTTCAAAACAGGACTCAATAGGGACTTCCCTGGTGGTCCAGGGGTTTAGACCCTACACTCCTGCCGTGGGGTCTGATCCCTGGTCAGGGAACTGAAGCCACGTGCTGCAATTAAGACCCGGTGCAGCCAAACTCTTAAAAATGTTTAAAAAATAGAAATTAAAAAAAAACAACAACAGGACTTTATAATCATTGAAGCATTATCTATTTTGTATAATCATTTTGGGAAACAGCACTTTTGTTCTTAAAATGGGGTCAATTTTCAATGTGGTATTTTGTGTTTGTGTGAAAAGAGGATATGGAAAAAAACTAATTACTCAGAATCACTAATGAACCAAAGAAGTAAATGTCTAATTATGTAATCATTCATATTCCTCAAGTAAGTCATCAAACAGGATCTCTTCCTAAAAGCCAACCTATGAGTTCCTTCCTGCAGTGATATTTAGCCAAGTATGCTGTGTGACAAGCCCTAGGGTCACAATGCTAAACAAACAAACAAGCAAAACCTCTCTGTCTCCCCAGGGCCTCCAGCACAGCTGGGAATGTCGTCAGCAAATCAGTAAGTAGCACCGGAAGAGCCACAGATTGTGCTAGGCAGAGAGAAGAACACAAACAGGGCAGTCTGCCAGAGGATGAAAGGTAGACGCTTTACACCCGATTTCTCCTCTGAAGCGATGATATTTTAGCCTGAGACTTAGGATTAGATGAAGCTCATCAAACAAAAGTCAGAGGATAGTTTTTTTCTAAGAGGGAACAGTGGGGAAAGAGCGCCTGATATGTCCAAGGCACTGGTAGACAGCAGGTGAGATTCAGAGGGGTTAACAAGCAGCAAAGGACTTCAACATGACTCTGCAAAGGAGCCAAGCCAGTTCCTGCAGGGTCTTGTCAGACGCAAAAAGGTGTTCAGACTTCATTCTACACGCACTGGCTTCATTCAGGCAAGTTATCTGCATATTTCATACCTGCGTTTTTTCTAAAATATAACACATATGCTGAGAGGTACACAAAGCATCCATGCAGATGTGGTATGCCACTGTAAAACAAGTGCAACGTGCAAAAACCTTGCCAGCATCCCAGATCACCCCTGCCCGCACCGTCACTCAAAACCACCTTCCCTTCCCTTCATAGGTAATTCTACTTTGACTTTCGTAGTAGTCATTTCTTAGTTTTCTTTACACTTGTCCCACCTGAGGATGAACTGATAGACACAATAGCTCAGGTTTCCATATTTGTAAACTTTACACACGTGGAACTGCCTTTGTATCAAGCTGTGTCTGGCTTCTTTTGATAAGTATTATTGATGCAAGTTCAAGAACATGGATGAATTCCCATCCATGTTGTTGCATGAAGCAATTGAATAATTTATTCATTGTTTATGGTTCTATAGTGTTCCATTGCATGTCTAGCCCTCCATTTAATGTTTGAATCCATTCCACTGTGGATGCACCTTGGGTTTATCTTTTTTTTGGGGGGGGCGTATTGTGAACATTGCTGATATGAATACCATCATCCTTGTCTCTACTGCATATGTACACTCATTCTTGATGCTTTTAGGAAGAGAACTACAGCATATCTTCAACTTTAATAGACCATGCTTCTTCTTTTTAAAGTCATTTTACCAATTAAAGCCTGTACCAAGTGTGCAATCTCAGTGCTCCACAGCCTTGCCACCAACTGGTACAGCTATCCTTTTCAAGTTTAGCCTTTACAGTGAATGTTTTCACTTTTCAAAAGATTATTATGGATGTTGTGTAACAGAAAAAAGTAAAGCAGGTATACAAGACAGGTTCTGAAGATGGAAGGAACAAGATTTGCTGATAGACAAAGAATACAGAGAATTAAGAAAAGGGAAATGTCAAGTATGAATTTCATGCTTCTGGCTTTAAGAATTGGCTAATGATGGTGCTAGTTTCAGAGAGAGAAAGCTGGAAAACTGGGAACCAAGCAGAGATGGAGGAGGAAAGTATCATTCATGTGGATGTGTCACATGTGAGATGGTCATTAGATTTCTACTTGATGTCAAGTGGGTACTTCAGCATACGGGCCTGGAGCTCAGAGCAGCGGTCATTAGGAATTAATGTAAAATTTTACTATTTTTTTTACTATTTATGGGGTAATATTATTTGCAGAGAAAATATAGATAAGCAAAAAAGACAGTGTAAAACTTAGCCTTAAGAGTTCTATTGTTTCAGAGATGATAGAAGGCAGCAGCTAGTAAGGAAGGAAGCAAACCAAGAAGCAGTGCTTTGAGAAGAAGAATTTCAGAGAGAGATTAATAAACTGCACCAAATGCTGTCAATGTGTTAAAAAAAGGACAGTCCTGTGGGTTTGTCCACACAGAGGTTGCTGACCGGGAGACGGGCTTAGTGTCCTGGTAGAAAGATAAGCAGAATTATAATCCTGCTTGAAAAAAACTTCAGAAAGCGGCTCACTCTAAAAATTGTTTTCTAGTTGTCTGAATAGAAAGGGGAGTAGGAAAATGGGTCAGATGCTAAAGGAAGAAGAAGGGTGAGGCAAGTTTTTACAAAGATGAAAAGTACTAGAATTTTTATATTCTTATAATGTCTACTGTGTGCTAGTTACTCAGTCGTGCCCGACTCTTTGCAACCCAATGGACTGCAGCCCACCAGGCTCCTCTGCCCGTGGGATTTTCCAGGCAAGGATACTGGAGTGGGCTGTCATTTCCTTCTCCAATAATAGTCTAGTAATGACAGACAAATGGAAGATGCCAAAGAAAAAGGAGGGGAAAAAAAGGAGCAACGTCCTAGTGAAGGGCAGAGGTGATACAGGTCCAGAGCAAAAATGGAAGGATTGCCTTTGAGAAAAGCAGGAGCATATCTTCTCCTGTGGCTGATTAAACATGATGAGAATTGATGTGCAATTCAGGTAGATATAAGAGAGGATTATGTTCCTGGAGGCTTGTATTTTCTAAAGAAAGTGTGAGTTTTTCAGGTGATAGAGAGGAGATAGTGATTATAAGGTCCATGAAAAAAGAAAGAAAAGAACTTACTCTTACCAGGAAAGTACAATAGAACTGAAAGCTGTGATCCTATGTATTCTATAAGCATGATTTAAAATAAAGACCAAAAAAAAAAAAAAAAAAAAAACTTACTCTTACCAGGAAAGTACAATAGAACTGAAAGCTGTGATCCTATGTATTCTATAAGCATGATTTAAAATAAAGACCAAAAAAAAAAAAACAAAAAAAAAAAAACACACACACAAAAAAAAATAAAGACCAGTCATAAAGGCTGATTTTCTTCAGCAATGTCCAGAGATTAATGTGCCTGCAGGAACATGGCTAGGTTAGCTGCAAGTTACAGAAATCTGATGCAAGAAGGGTTAAACAAATAGGGGCCTCTTTTTTCTTTCTCTTAGATAATAAAAAGTCTGGAAATAACATAGTTGTTGCTATTGATTCAGCAGCTGCTTAAATCATGTCATCATGGATGCAGGCTGTTTCTTTCTTCACTTCTATGCTTAGCATGTGGGCTTTTACCTTCAGTGCATTAGCAATCACAGCAGTAAAAAGAAGAAAGGATCTTCACCAGTCTCAGTAATTTTCTTTCAGGAAAACAAAGGACTTCCGAGGAATGCCCACTGGACTTCTACTCACGTTATCAGTGGCTAGCCCTGCGGCATGTGGTCCAGGGAGCCTAGCTGCAAGGGAACCAGGAAGAGTGAGCATGCAGCCACACACTGTCGCCCTGAGTGAAACCAAGGCTTTGTTAGGAGGAATGGGAGAATGTATAAATGTTACATGAATACTTACGCCTGCCACACAGAAGACAGTAGATGTTTGAGTTCAACCACATTGGAGAATACTAGGCTAATTTAACAGAGGAAGAAAGAGAAAAGAGATTGATGATGTCTGTAAGAGAGAGGTTATCTTTAGCGCTAAAAGAATAAAACTGGCCACCAGAAAAGGAAAATAAAAACAAAACATTGTGTTGAGAGTAATTTGCAAAGAAAAACTTAAAGACAATTTTTACCTAATGCCTCTACTTTTGACAAAAATATTCTGATTTGCACATATATTTTAATTGGTATTTCTAGTATTTTACTTTTTTTTAAACAGTAAAGCTCCCTGGTGGCTCAGATGGTAAAGCATCTGCCTGCAGTGCAGGAGACCTGGGTTCGATCCCTGGGCTGGGAAGATCCCCTGGAGAAGGAAATGGCAACCCACTCCAGTACTCTTGCCTGGAAAATCCCATGGACAGAGGAGTCTGGTGGGCTACAGTCCATAGGGTCACAAGGAGTCGGACATGACTGAGCAACTTCATTTTCACTTTCAAAGCTCCTAGAACATATCTTTATCTAAAGCAAAATAATGATCAATTTGGCCAATTTCTGAGGAAGGCTAATTTTTAAATGCACTCATATTAAGATATTTGTTACCATCCTGTGATTTGTTTTAATTAGTCAGAATGAAACATGGTATGTATCTATCTTCAAATTGCCACTTTCCTTTTGGTGATTTGGATTGTTTTTATGATGAAGGTAGCAGTTTTGTATATCAGTAAAGCTGTGTAACAGTAAAGTTGTTCAACAGTAAAGTTCTTTACCAGCTGAGACACCAGGGATTAAAATATAATTTAAAAACAAAGAATAACACCTGATTGTGCTATTCTGTATTGACTGACTCAATCAATCAGTTGTTTAGAACCATCCAAACAGGCATATATTCTCACCCATGTCACTCACAACAGTGGCATCACCTCAGCAAACTCCAAGATGCTCGTGAATATCCTGTGACTCTACTGCCGGTCCACCTGTTGTGATGATGACTATTTCATGTACAATTTGCTGATAAAATGGTTTTCAGCAATAGAAACACACATGCAAATTGTTACCCCTCAGAGTCTGATTGTAGGGTAATGCAAATCCAGTCAGACACACCCAGAAACAAGTGGTGTAGCAATCCTAAGTTTTAGATCCATGATGATAGCTTGTTCTCTTTAGTGATCACATTCCAAAGGGTAGCTGTGCCTGCCTGGAAGAATAAAGTCATCTTGCCGCAGCCTGGACCTACAGCTGGGGCAATAATAATAGTGATGAAGATGAAAGCTAACATGCATCCAGAGTTTGCTCTGTGCCAAGTACTTTATCAGGGACACCGTGTGCCTCGTCTCATCCAAACCTCACTACAATCGTTTAAGGTTCATATGAGAATCCTCCCAATTCTACAGAGGGAACTGCAACTGGTATAGGTGTAGTAACCTTCTGAAAATGACAAGCCTACAATGAGATGAAGTTAAGATTGGAAGTCAGGCAGTCAGATTTTAGAATCAAGGATTTTGATAATTTTGTCACTACTCCTCAATGCACAGGAGAAAGTCATACCTCAGGATCATTTCCCTAATTGACATGTGTCAAAAATATATTAAGTGAGGTTTGCCCAATTTGAAACCCCAATTCCCAAACTCCCAATTGTGCAAGAAGAAGAGTATTAAAAACTCCCTGAGTGACGCCTCTCTCTAGACGATAAAGTCGGCCATGCGTGCAGGCATGCATATGCACTCAGTCATTCTGGCTCTTTGCCCCTCCTGGACCGGAGCCCCGAGGCTCCTGGGTCCATGGGATTTCCCAGGCAAGAGTACTGGAGTGGATGCCCTTTCCTCCTGCAGAGGATCTTCCCGACCCGGGGATCGAACCCCTGTCTCCTACGTCTCCTGCACTGGCAGGCAGATTCTTCACCACTGAGCCAGCTGGGAAGACTTACAGTCAGCCTGTAATCATCAGACTCCTATTTCTCTGCAATTTGGGAGATACATTCTCGAAAGAAATTTGTTGGAGGGATAGAGAAAACAATGACGTTGAGAAAAAACTTCCTGAACCTGAAACTTACATAGATTTATAAATTTAACCTATGCAGCATCTCGTCTCAGAACTTAGTTCCAAGACGAAAATGCCAGAATTTCAAATTATTTGCAAGTTCTTGGTAATCATAACCTCCTTTTAATTTTTCCAGCTCCTCTGTACTTGTATTTCTGTGGATGCTGTGCTTTTTCTCCCTCTAAGAGGAAAGGACACAAAAATAATATCAGAGCTCCCACAGAGTCCTAAAATGATAAGTACTACTACTAAATCTTAGCACTTACTTCATAAGATTGGATTGAATGGCCAAACTCAAGGCAGGCATATATTTCAATAGTTCTTCAATCCTGTGGTCATTTATTTCCAAATTGGATATGCCATTTACATTTAGACTAGGCACCCATTTTCATTCTCCTTCAAGTGCTGTTAACACAACAGACCATATAATATAGTAACTTTGATTTTTCCTGAAGATTCATCTTTACTTGTTAGGGAGAAACTTGCCAAAACCTACTGCATTCTAAAGTATTATCGAAGATCTCACAGTAAACCACACAAGTTGAAATTGTTTTATTTCCTCTCATTTATCTTAATGTTGTGATACAAATATGACAGAGTGAAACATACAGAAGCACTGTAAATAGTGCCATTTTTAAGAAAAATAGTATTCTAGTCCCGACCTAGTTCACCAGTTCATATTCAATGTAAAACAGCTGAATGTAAAAACAGTGTAAAAAATCATATCGATGCTTTTAAAAAAAAAAACACACCACTTGCCATTATGAAAAACAGCCTCACTTAGCTAATTGCCAAACTTCAGTGAACCTGTCATTTAGTAGAATATCTGTCACACAGATTTGTAAACTGAATACCACATGACACACAAAAAAGGTGATTTAAATTACAAGTTATGTGTGTATACACACACCTTTGTTTATTAAAATTTCTTAAACGTCTTGGGAAGGTGGTGAACTTGGTGCCCTAAAACACCCACACATACGTCACACAAAAGGGACTGCCGGTCGTTCCATGACGCCTGCTTCTGCAACGTAAACTAACTCCTATGCAAACAGGAAATGAGGAAGCTGTGAGCACCGAGCCAGAGCAGAGCTGAAGTCGTCCATCGCAACCGCACAGGGCGAGCGGCAAAGGGACTCGTGATGCCCGTTCACTGCGGCTCTCCTCTGCGCTTGACGGGCTTCGGGGTCTGTCTTGGAAATGATTTTTGTACGCATCTTTCCACTCTTAATGCATTTGTTTATCTATGAATTTGATTTTGCAGCTTCAGTCCACCTTACATTCTTTTCTAATGAGATTTCTTCACTTCTTTTCAAAGATACAAAATTCTGTACTTACTGTAATAGTTCTTTATTAAGATGTAACATGTTTGTACTTATATTTGATTTTTCTAGAATTAGTATTGTTTTTACTGTTGTTCTGATTATATACCCACATGGTTTGAATGCTTTGCCTAATCTTATTTTCGCCGTAAGTTCCATTATATTTACTAAGTAGTTTTTAAGTTTTTTTGGAGCAATAGCATCTCTGAACAATATGTATTGCACATAGCTCATATAAAGACTCTCTCGAGATATCTGTCTTCCCTTTAACTCAAGAATGTGAGTACCTTTCACAGTAATTAGTCTGTTTTTGTCTTAGCACTGTTAACTAGGTCATTTCTCCTTTTCTATCGAATGCCTGTGAAAAATCAGGGCCTTGTGTGTGCTCAGTCAATACATCATGTCCAACTCTTTGCAACCCCATAGCCTGTAGCCTGCCAGGCTCCTCTGTCTGTGGAATTTTCCAGGTAAGAATACTGGAGTGGGTTGCCATTTCCTCCTCCAGGGGATGTTCCTGGAGGATCTAAACTGTGCCTAAACTGTGTCTCTGTGTCTCCTGTATGGGCAGGTGGATTCTTTAGCACTGTACCACCTGAGAAGCCCAATTGGGGCCTCATCTTCCTAGAAAATTCATGGGATTTGATAACATACATTTTTGTATTAAAACTCATTACTAGCTCCATTTGTTTTGTATTGATGATGGTGGATGTTGCTTTTTCATCTTTCTTCTTACATTTCTTTTATAACCCTGTTACTTAATATAGATATATCCTTCTAAATTGGCATTATTTTCTAAAGACAGGAGAGAGATTTTATGCACATATACACACATATTTATACACAAATACTCACATATATACATACACCCATACAGACAGATACACTGTATTTAAAATTACTTGGTTATTTAAGTAGATTTTAAATGGAAGTAGTTAGCAGAAGTCATCTGGAATTAAACAGAAAGGACCAATTGACTGTCTCTTTACAGCCTTTCCACTGTTGTTTTGGAATTGTGGAGAGAATGCCTCGATCACCCTGCCAGGATGCCATTTGTTACACTGTAAGAGAACCAACAATCCCGACAAGGCATTCCGGATTCATTAAGAAGTCAGTGCATTATTTCAAAGTCCCTAACTTACCCCCAGTGTGTATTAACAGACTCAGGGAATCTGAGTCAGCAAGTCATAAACTTTGCGTATATATACAAACAAGAGTAAAGAATTGGAAGCACAGAGTGTTCTGGTTGTTAAAAGAAAGGCATTACCAAGATGTATGATAAAAAGAACTTAAGGAACTTACAGTGTTTCAGTTACACAAAAGCCCAAAATGCAAACAAGGCAAAGGCTGGGTCACTTTGATTAACAAGGGATGACACTGTCATTTTCACATATTTCAACCCATTGGTTGAACAAATATTTAGTGCATGCTATAATAATTATGCATTACTCGGTGTGCCTCACTTAAACTCTCTTTTCCAGGAGGTGTACCAGTCCCCCACATGCTGTGAGTTTTGGCTCAGTTTCCTCCCTTCAAATGCAGTTCAACCAGCGTCATTTCTGGCATCTTTCCACCCTCAAACCTTTTAGCCCCAGAGTAGGTACAGGGACATCTATGTGGTAAATTCAGACAGAATGTTTTTACCTTTTTTACATTCAACTTATTTACAAAACTTTCTTCTTAGAAAATGCTTACTCACATTAACCTAAGTTTGAATTTGTTTATAATGCTTCTAGGGAAGTTAGTCTTTAGCTCCATTATGGTGTATGACTATCTGGTGAATTTTGTGCCCACTAGTAAAAAACAAGGCATAAACAATTTATATATTATAAAGCTACAGTAATTAAAACAGTACAGTATTGGTGTAAAAACAAGCACTCAGATCAACAGAGCAGAATGGAAAATGACAAATACCCCACGACCTCTCTTATTTGCAGAATCTAAAAGACATAGGAATAAGCTCCTAGATACAGAGAACAGATTGGTGACTACCAGAGACAGGGTATTTGAGGTGGGAGAAATAAGAGAAGGGGACAAAAAGTAAAAAACAAATTAATTAATTGGTGCTTTCCATCAACTGATAAATGCAAAAAGAATGATGGAATCAGCCAATCACCATTTGGCAACCATCACCAAATTGAGCCAAGGGAAATCAACAGATATAGAACTACTCATCAAATTTTGATGAGGAATTTTGTATCTATATAATCTTAATGTACCTCCTCACAAAATACACATTAATTGCAAATGGAAAAGAGCATCTTTTGGTTGGAAAAATTGGGAAGTGATGAAAGTGAACACGAGGAGGATTGGGGCAAGTTGGAATCATGTACCACTTGACAGGGGATAGTGAGAAGGACACAGTCATAACATCTGTGTCATCTTATTGTGACATTCTTGCCAATTATGTGTTAGTTGCTCAGTTGTGTCCAACTCTTTGAGAGCCCATGGACTGCAGCCCACAAGGTTCCTCTGTCCATGAAATTATCCAGGCAAGAATACTTCAGTGGGTTGCCATGCCCTCCCCAGGAGATCTTCCTGACCCAAGGATCTAACTCACATCTTCTGCATTGTAGGCAGATTCTCTACCACCTAAACCACCAAACCAAGGAAGCCCAACTATGCATAACAGCAAATTATAAGGAAATATCTGTCAAACCAAACTTGAAAGGCATTTTTTAAAAAATGACTCATTTGTAAGTTTCCAAATTGTCAAACCAATGTCACGAAAGTCAAGGAGAGACTTGGGAAATATTCCAGATTGAAGGAGACATAAAAATTCAATACAATACGTGATTCTTGGATTGAATCCTTTTGCTCTAAATGACGTTATTGAAACAACTGAAGAAATCTGAAAAGGGTGCGTAAATTAGACAGTAGTAATATGTCAGTGTTAATGACTTGAATTTGATGGCAGTATTGTGGTTATGTAGAATAATGTAGGACACACACTACAGTATTCGGTGGTGATGGGGCAACTTACTCTCACACGATATACAGGAAAAACATTCTTTGTACTAGGCTTTCTGTAAGTGAGAAAGAATTTCTAAATAGAAAAGAAAGTCTATTGATACTGCCCTACACTCTGTGAAAAATTCAGCCAGTATATTAGTTAATAAAAGTCAAGACAAAACAATGTAGGACAAAACAATTATTCTGACATCGGTCACAAGTGCTTTCCTAATTGACCAGCATTTTCTACTTCTGCCTCAAAAATCAACCTGTCACTTAGCAAATATTTATGGACCATACCCTATGCCACTCACTATTCCAAAGATGAACCAGATGGGCCTGGTTCCTGCTTGCATGGAGCCTGCATTTTTGTTGGAAAGTTCAATATTGAACACATTTCTATCAAGAATTATGGAGAGAGAGAGAGAGAGAGAGAGTGAGTGATTTCCCAGTATTAGAGTCTACTGAGGTCATACATAATCTTAAATGAAAATTTAATGAAAGAAGGAGGTCTGCTTTCCCTTCTTCTCTATCCACTTCTATTTTCTTATTGTATCAACTACCTTCATATCCTGGTAATAATAAATACCAAAGCTAAAAATAAATGTTCCAACACATTCTTGATCTTTTTAAATGTGGATAAACTTTTGATCATTTTAGGTGGTTTGGAGGAAGTCCTTTCTATACAGAAATTGCTGTCCCAGAAAACTGTCTCTGTGACCACTTTCCAGGATGGCTAGGGGGGAAAAATCAGATAAAGGAAAACATATTTAATTAGTTTTTCTTCCAGGCAAGTAGAGAATACAAAGCAAAGGAAATAGACTTTATGTCCTTTTACTATTTTGGTGGATATAAGGCATAACGGAAAAAGTAACATTACAGAAGTGGAAATTCCTTTGAGAAAAGTGATGACAGATTCATAAGAATGATGAGTTACAGATGATGCTAAGGAATGTCAGGGTACATTCTGAGCTCTATGTACGAATAATGGACCTTATGAACTGACTACACGTCGTGATATATATGTGCCCAGTCTGTTCCAGTGGTTCAGTTTGCTTTGTTTTTAAAGAACAAAATGACACACAGTCTTTTCCTTGCATTATTAGAAGGAAATTTCAAGACCACCATATCAAAAAAGGATACCAGGCTTCTTTTTTGTTAGGTTTTAACTAATATGACTTTCAGATTACAGAAATAATACATGCTTATTGTAGAAAATTTGAGAAATGCAGAAAATCATTATAGAGAAAAGAAATCCTGATTTATATGATCAATCACTGTAATATTTATATACACTGTACTTGCATGTATTATATACATATGTCATATATGTGTGTCTAATATAAAATTCAATTCATAAAATCATAAACACACTCTTGTAAGCACTGATGCCAATGTTGTTTTGGTTTTTTTTAGAGTAATTCATTGAATACCATAATTATTCCAACTAAGCCTTTATATATGGGACATTAAAATTGCTTCTGTTTTTTATTATAAATAATGTAATAATACACTAATATATAATAATTGGGAATTTACTTGTTTACTGTGTTATCACAAATTCACTGAAATGGAATTGCTGAGTCATAGACTAGATTTCTTTTTATGTGTACAGTATGTTTCTCCACTTTATTTCCCATTTTTAAAGAAAGGAGTAAGTAGAATGCTAAGCATTTTGGAATTAAGAGTAATATTAAAATGACTACTCATTATCTATTGCTCTTAACCTGATATAAAGCCATGGAAGACCCTAAGTCCCAGCAGTAGTATGAAATCTTAAAGAAATGTGCAATGTGTACTTAGAGGGAAAAAGAAAAAAAGAAAACTGAGAGATGAATTTTAACTTCTCTACAGTAATCTCCATATAGGGATGGCATTTACAGGAGTCCTAGGAATGGGATGAGAAAAGATGGAAAGCACCAGCTAAGTGCTACAATATTTTAAAAAATAAAGACGACAAGGGATGTTAAGACTTCCTAGGCATGAATTAACAGATTTAGTTGGAAAATTTTATTTTTTTGACAAGATTCATTTTCAAAATGAAAACAGCAAATATATTTAAGTTCTTAAGAAGTCTCCTTTCTAGTTTTTTTAAAGGCTCAGGTTTAACTTCTCAAATTATTGTAAAGACATTTTTTTCAGAGCAATTTTAAGTTTACAACAACAATGAAAGGGAAGTACATAAATTTTGCACATACAGCATGGCTTCACACAAGTAAAGCTACCCCACTTTTTTATTACCATCACTCACCAGAATGGCACATTTCTTACCCAGGGTGAGCCCACACTGACACTTCATAACCACCCAAAGTCTACAGTTTAGTTTCACTCTTGGTGTTGCACATTCTGTAGAAATGGATAGAATACCTACATACCCACTATTATAACATCATACAAGGACTTCCTGGTAGTTCCATGGTTAAGATTCCATGCCCTGGATGCGGGTGCCTGGATTCAATCCTTGGCCAGGGAAATAGGTCCCGCATGCCCCCACAAAGATCCCACCTGTTGGAACTAAGATCCAGCACAGCCAAACAAATAAACAAACCCTTTAGAAACCTAGTATCATAGAGAGTATTTCACGGCCCTGAGAGTCCTGTCTGCACTCCTACCCCTCTTCCCCCACCCCACCCCGGCACACCTGTCGAGCCTCTCCTCACCAACCCACAGCTCTGTCGCCTTTGCTACTGAGAGCTCTGCTCCTGGCCACAGCTCGGGAGCCCTCCCCGGCACACCTGAGCCAAGCCAGATGGATCAGAGCCATTCCTCTGAGAATCTGGCCTGGGGGTCAAGGTCCCATGCTGGACTAGAGCATGGTGTCCTGATTAGAAGAGACGCAGAGGAAGGAGGCGGGAGGCCGCTGTGGCCCCTCTTCGCTCCGCACTGGGGTCCGGGGACAGCTGGAGCGCAAAGCCCGGGCCGGATGGCGGGACGCAGGAGAGCGGGGGCAGAGCCTGCGTCCCTGGTCCCTGACCCGGATCTTGCGCCTGCTTTGTTACTCCGCACGGGGCCGCCACCCCAAAGTTCGGAGCCCTGCCAAGGACTTCTCGCTTTCGTTTAAATTATTTCAAAGTTCTTATCTGCTAGAAAACTAATAAAAAGAAATAGGATCTCCATTCCAAAGCTGAGAAAGTCCTTGGTTCTCCACTCACTGGAAGACAAAGGGGCTCTGATTTCAGTGGTTGTTCAAAGTTTGTCCATGAGGTCCACCTTCTGTACAATGTTTGCACAATAGTAGACTAAAAGCCAGATCAATTCTCACATGTCTTTGACTTTGACTACACTGCTTTGTACATGGCAGTTTATTTGGAGAAATTCCAGTTACAAGCTGGCCCTGGACTCAGACAGACTCAGTCACATGCATCTCTTCCAAGAATAAACTCTTGAAGATTTGGAACCCTTCAAGCTTGCCTCAGGCATAGCTTGTGTCCTCAAGCCCTGTAGAACTATATAATCTTGCATTTAAACAGTAGCTGTGAAATAAACACAGATCACCCAGAGACTATAATAAAGGGAAAAAAACAAAAAAACACGTCATACTTCAAGTCTGTCCTTTTAAATGTGACCACTTGGAGTTTTTGTGCTTAAATTTTTAAAAAGTTGCTTAATAAAGAGAAGTCATCATGGTATTATTTGTCACAACAAAAGGCAAACAGGCAGGCACAGATTTTTTAAAATGCACTGATGCATTAAAACTTGTATTAATATAATTAACAACTGTTAATTATAATTATGCCACTGTTTTCTTTTTCATACCTATTTCACTTGTTTATACTTATTTACTTATTTTTTCCTCTGGCATGTTTGTATATAGGAAACATAATAAAAGAAATAAAAGAAAATTCCTCCCATCTGTAGTTCTTTTCTGCCATTGTTTTACTTGTTTTTTTCACAACAGTTAGTGAAAATGTTTCTGTCATATAGAGCAAGGAGTGATACAACATAATCCATCTCAAGTATCAAATTTAGTGGCTACATTGACAAGGCGTGGGGAACAAGGATACTCGGAGGGTCTGAGTTCAGGTCCAGAGCCACCTTTTCCAAGATTCATTCTTCTCTCCGAACCACAGAGCATCCCCGGAGGTGTAATCCAAGTGGGGTGCAGGGTGGGGGGTTGGTGAGAGGGAGGGAGGGAACACTAAAGGATTTTATAGGGTAAAAAAATGACATGACAGTAGTAAACATGTTCCTTCATTCGTTTGATGAATAATTTAAAACCTGTATGAGGCAGTCTTCAGGTACCTATTGCTACACAACAATGTGTTTTCATTTTATTAGACAGCAGACACTCTAGCATGTGTGCATGCTGAGAACCGTCCAGAGAAGGGAAGAAAACCACAAACGCAGGAGACAGTGGGAACGCCTCCTGGACGGAGGCCACTGAGTTAGGAACAGAGTAACTCCTACTGTACCAGCAGTGAGGGGTGTTCTTAGACCACAGATCAGGCAGGCGCGCTGCTCTTATCCGCGCACCTGGAGACACTGGCTGGCATTCCATGGTTTGAGACAGGGTCCCTCTGGTCCTTCTCAGGCTCTGCCCCTCAACAGATGCTCTCCCCAGGAACCTGCACCCCACTTCCATAGTGCATTAAATGTAACTTGAGATCTTGGATTTCTCTATTCAAAGGGGTTGCATATGCTTCAGGCACCATAAAGGTCCTCTTCCCAAGTCAGATTTCCTGAGCCTGGATTACAGTATCCTTGTTCCCCACGCCTTGTCAATGTCAGCAGCAGGATTATCAGATGGATGGTGTGCAGTACCCAGATGGAAAGCAGAGTACAAGACTGTGGAGTCTACCACTTAGCAGATGACTGGTATTGATGTTTGAAAGCTCTGAGTATTGGACTATTTTGTCAATAAAATGAATAGCAACATCATCAGCCAAGTTTGGTGTGGAGGGTCCTGAGGCTTGAGAAGAAAGAAAGTCCTCAGAGAATGTGGAGTAAATGAGTCTGCAACACAGAGGGTCTGCTTGAAGTGATAAGTATGTATTTTAGGTCAGATCCGTTAGTGGACTGCATTTGGGCATCAAACAGGCAAAATTTGAACTTAACATCTCGTAAGGTTTTCTCTGATAAGTACAGTGAAGGCTGAGAAAGTTGAGGACATACTTGAAGGAAAATTTTAACGACTTCAACTAAAATTTTTAAATTCCAGGTAGAAAAGGAAGTAAAATTCAAGGGGTTAAAGGACTGGTTACAGTGGTGGATCCAGCAGTTAGCAGGCCCTGGTGGGGCTCAAGAATTGTCAGAAGCAGAGAAGAAAGGGGCAGAGTTGTAGGAATAGGAAGATGGAGATTGGAGAGTGAGATTCCTGGAACCCAAAGTGAAGTGGAGCCCTGGTTACTGGCAGTGAGAGTGTCTACTCTAGAATGTGGCCAGGAAGACCGCTGATGGAGAGTCTATGGCATCAGAGCTCACCCCGGTGGATGGCCCATTTACATGAGCATTGAAATTACCAAAAAGCATGGAATAATGGCTAAGCTAGTTGAGTGGAAAAGGCAACATGCAGAAGAGAAGAATAGGAAACTCTTACTTGAGTGAAAAAAGAAAAAAAAGCCAGATGTGCTATCCATCTGTCTAAACACAGTCTGTATACATCTGAATACACAGTCTACATACAAGCTGCTATGTACATGTACAGACTAACTCTGAAATGAGACATAAGAAGTCACAATGAAGACTAGGGAACTCAAATGTCAAGAACAGGAGTCTTACTCTTTAGAATATAACCTTTTATGTAGTCGGAATATTTTACAATATATAGACATTATTTCTTAGTTCAAAAATCAAAGAAAACAACTAGTTAATAAAAAAGATAAAAACAACATTGCTCTTAGCTGGCTTTGTTCAGTTGGGCTTGATTTTCGTACCACTCTCAAGAAGTGCTCAGCTCTTTAAATGGAACCAATTTATGAGAAAAAACCTCTCAGAGTAATCAGGACAATTAAGATATATTTAAACATCTCTGGGTTGAGGGGGAAATGGATTTTTATTGCTGCTGGCAATGTGAACAGCAGAAGTCTGATTCTCTAACCAACTTGCTTGAGAAAGCCTGTGTCTTGATCAAAGACCAAATGGTTGCAATTTAGCCTCCCAATACCTTCTTGCTGATTTAATTAGCATAACACTCCCCTGACAGAATGCAACAAGGTTGTTAAGCTGCATTGGCGAGGTGCAGGCCAAACACTCATCGAAAGACTGTTGAAGGACCTGGCTGTTTCTTGCACTAGAGGTGCTCAAACGGGCGTTCTAGAATGTTCACCGTTTTACTAACTAGGGAACCTCCTGCAGAAAGAGGAGATGGCGCAGCCAGCCAGCTGTGGCAGAGTCATGCTGAAGACACGGTGGAAATCACACTTTGACCCCCTCTCAAACCTTTCCTCGTCTCTGGAGACTATCCACTGCATAAGCTGAACTTTTTTTAACTGAAGTATAATTTATTTACATCATCATATTCAATTCAGGTGTACAACATAGAGACTCAACACTTCTGCAGACTATACTTCATTAAAAGTCGCCCTGATATGGTGGCTGTATTTCCGTGTGCTGTATGACACACCCCTGTAGCCTATCTATTTTATGCACAGTGGTTTGTACCTCTCAATCTCCAATCCCATTTCACAGAAGTTATTCAAATAAAGACAGTGCCCCAGTGATGCGGGAGCGTCTGTAAGTGAACTGGGCAAGTGCACAGGAACTCATCTGCTTCTGTCTGCTCCCTCTGTCACCCTCCAAACCCGAGGGGTCAGAGGTGACTGGCAAGCTGGCAAGCCCAGCCTTGTTTCAAGGGGCAGCACTCAGAGTCTGCCGCCAAGCACTGCAGAGCGGCCAAGCACACAGCTCCTGCGGCCAGACGGCCCGCCCCACTCTGCCTCTCGCATCTTGGGCAAGCTCCCCCGCACAAGATAAGCCATTCTTCAGCCCATTCTTCATCCAGCAGCTGTGTGACTTTTTAAAGTATCAGTCAAATAAAGACTCCACAACTCACCCCACTTGCAGATCTTACTGGCTTCCCATTGCTCCTGAAGTCAATTTCAGGCTCTTTCGTATGACCTTCAAGTTCAGCAGAGCCTGGTCCTATCTATCTCTTTAACTTCATCCTCAGGCACACTCCTCTCACTCACTATACTTCAGCCAAGCCAGCCATTCAGCCTGCATCAAACTTTTTTCCACCTCCATATTTTTTACATGCTGTCACATTAGCCTGAAATGCTCTTCCAAACAAAATTAGTCTCTTACTCATTCCTCAACTTAAATCTCTCCCCTCAAAGGGCTTTTCCCAAATCCTTATCCTGACACAGGTCCCACCAT